TCTCCGATAAATATTTGTGCATATTAATCACCTAATTTGCATAATTAGTTAATTTTCAGCTTTTCCACAGGTATCTCAAGTACTAATCATCGCATTTCAATGAAACTTGGTACATAGATCCTTTAGGACTATGTAGAGACCTGATTAGTTTTAGGGCAAATAATTGTGCATATTAATTAACTAATTTGCATAATTAATTTTCAGCTTTTCTACTGATATCTAAAGTACTAATCATCACATTTCAATGAATCTAGAATTATGCAGACCCAATTAGTTTCCGGTAAATATTTGTGCATATTAATCACCCAATTTGCATAATTAACCAACTTTCACACTGATATCTCAGGTACTAAACATCACATATCAATGAATGTACATGGATGCTGTAGGACAATAGACAGACCTGGATAATTGTGGGTTAAAATCTGTACATATTAATTACCTAATTTGCATAATTAACCAATTTTAAGCTTTCACACTGATATCTAAAGTACTAATTATTCCATTTCAATGAAACTTAGTACAAAGATGTTCTAGGACAATGTACAAACCTAATTAGTTTGGGGTAAAAATCTGAATCTGAAGACTGTTTCCATTATTTATTTATTTTATCATGTGATCCCAGAAATCTACAAACAAAATCGCACAACACAGTCACATCCCAAAATCTGCGTCACACTTATGTACTTACAAATTATCACCACTCAGTGCTAAAAAAACAAATAAAATCTTTGCAACGAGGATGATGACAATGTTTTTTTATTTACATTCATTTCCCTTTGACCTTATTCTGTGTCAAGATACTGTCATGCAAGTATTTATAACTTGATTTCCACAGAAATTACTAAATACGGTACACAAAAATATTGTTAAATTGGCTGAAATAGTTATAAATCGACTTTTTAATCATGCTACATTATACAACCCATATTACCGTATTACAGCAACAATCAAATCGAAAACCATGCACTCTTTGTTATCTCGATCGGAATCCTCCTTGTAACCCAGCATGCATCGGTCGCGATATCACAACATGCAATATGTCGCCTATGTCGGGCGGCATTCTTACTAAGACATCCTATGAATGAGGTATTTCCAGAGGCTAGGGTTTGTTTTTTCTTCCGTCGTCTCGTCTACAGTTACACATCGACGATGCAGGGAACTATGTCAGTCACAGTTTTCGTAATGGGGCTGCAGCAAAAATTTTACAGACTGGCTGATCAAAGACGTTGCCGTAGCGATGCCTATAAGTTATATATCACCATACCTAATAATATCATACAACACATACCTGAACAGCTAGCGTGTCACCCTTGATTCAAACTATACTATGTATGCATGAAGCCTACACAGACTTTTAGTGTGTTTTTTACCTAATTGTGTTTGTTGTTGATACGTTGACCACTTTGGTGTGATTATTGTAATGAATCTTATTCATTCAACAATTGCTTATTTGCTTTTTTCTTTTTGTTGTCACATAGTAAATTTTTATTTTATTATCAGTGCATGGATCAGTTATTGCATGCTACGTTATTCGAGAAAAAGCAATTTTAATTTCATTTAATTAGTTATTTCGGTTTTGTGTTGTTTTTGTTTTGCAGTCTTTTGTTGTTTTTAAATTTATCGTATGCACATTCGTAAATTTTCCTTCTAAAGAAAGCTAAACGTATTTACGGTAGCTATTCATTTGTTTCTTTTTGCAGTTATGTATACATTCATAATAATTATGGTATCTAATTTGCATAATAATGTACTTCTCAGCTTTCCACCAATTTTATTAGGATAATCATCACATTATAATAAAACTTGGTACATGAGCACCCTGGAACAATACACATAAATCCTATACATAATAATTGCTTAATTTGTATAATAATTCATTTGGTTCATTGGGGTAATCCACAGACATGATTAATTATCATTATGTTGAAAAACATGCATATTGATTTAAATGATTATCTAATTATTATTAGCCCATTTCTGATACATGTATCTCAAAAAATCAGATTTAAATTGAATTTGTCACAGAGGTGCTCTCAAATTAATTAGACAGAAAACCAAAGACATAAAATCAAATGTTTTTTCTGTGAGTATTATAAATTTTGATAATGTGGGTCCCATTGTTTTCATGTTGTACA